ATTACTTGCAACAATGCCGAAGAGGTTCGCGACGGCTTTCGAATGGTGCAATCTAGAGGAGAAACGCTGTTCAAGAACCCCGGAGTTTTTATCGAGGCCTTCTATCCTGCCTCTCACCACATTGAAGTCCAGGTGTTCGGTAATGGCCAGGGTCAAGCCATCCATTTCGGCGAACGCGAATGTTCCATCCAAAGACGACATCAGAAGGTCATTGAAGAATGTCCAAGCCCGTTTGTAGAGAGGCATCTCGAGCTGCGAAAGAAGCTGGGTGAGGCTGCGGTACGCCTCGCCGAGTCGATCAAATATGGATCTGCTGGCACCATCGAGTATCTCGTCGATGACAAGTCGGGCGATTTCTTCTTTCTGGAGATGAATACTCGACTTCAGGTTGAGCACGGCATCACGGAGCTTTGCTATGATGTCGACCTGGTAGAACTTATGCTGAAGCAAGCAGATGCGCAATTAGCAGGCAATCATGGGCTCGATGGCAAGACGTTGAAAGCTATGCAACCCTCAGGGCCGAGAGGATCGGCTATCGAAGCTCGTGTTTACGCCGAGAATCCACTAAGAGATTACGCACCCTCGCCTGGACTGCTGCAAAAGGTGACCTGGAAAGATGTCCCGGGCAGTCGAGTCGATACGTGGGTCTTCACCGGAGTTCGCATTACTCCCAATTATGGTGCGACACTCTTTCTCCTTCTCTGTACAGGACACGTGAATCCTGCATTGATATCAGAGCCCTGATAGAGTAAGCAAGTTCCTTACTGACGACGACCAGATCCTTTGATAGCGAAAGCCATGGTCCATTCTCCATCCAGAGATGAGGCAATCGCGTCAATGAGCGAGCTGCTCACCCAATCTACCATTTGCGGCCCACCTACCAACCTCGAATTTCTCGCCAATATACTGGACGATTCGCGCTTCAGAAACGGCAACACCATGACCAGCTTCCTCACAGACTTCAAGTACTCGCCTCAAGCTATCGACGTGATTTCGGCGGGAGCATACACTTTAATTCAAGACCTTCCCGGGCGGCCAACAGTTGGTAAAGGTGTACCTCATTCTGGACCTATGGACCCAATCGCATTTCAGATCGCGAACATGCTCGTGGGAAACCCGCGATCAAAGGAAGCGCTGGAACTCACGCTGAGTGGACCGGAACTGAGGTTTGTCGGCCCGGCTATTGTCGCGCTGTGTGGAGCTCCTATGGAAGCATTCTTGGACGAAGAGACCTTTCCTATGTGGACAAGCGTAAAGATCGAAGCTGGTCAGAAGCTTAAGATTGGGAAGACGACAGGTGGGGGTTGTCGCTCATATCTCGCAGTCTTTGGAGGATTCCCGTCTGTTGCGGAATACTTTGGCTCGAAGTCGACATCGCCGCTCGTAGCGATTGGAGGCTACCAGGGCCGGGCGCTGGCACCAAGCGATCTGTTACAGACGGTGGGAGAGCTTCCAGACGCTTTCACTAGCGTTTCACTCCCAGAAAAGCTGCGACCCATCTACAAGTCAAGCTGGGAAATAACAGCGATGGTTGGACCCCACGACGAAGGCTACTTCGATCCGAAGTTCATCGAGGAGATATACAAGACTGAGTGGAAGGTATCTCACAATGCATCGCGGAGCGGAATTCGTCTGGTGGGGCCGGTTCCGAAATGGGCCCGTAAAGATGGCGGCGAAGGAGGCGCGCATCCAAGCAATCTCATCGAGTACGGCTATCCACTGGGTACCTTGAACTGGACTGGAGACGATCCGTGTATCTTCCCTGTGGACTGCCCAAACTTCGGAGGGTTTACCAGCTCTACCACGGTCGTCAAGGCCGACTGGTGGAAGCTAGGTCAGCTCAAAGCGGGGAATACTGTGAAGTATGTCCGGGCTGGTCTCGATGATGCACTGAAAAAGAGAAAGAGGAACGACAGCTTCTTAGATTCAGTTGAGCAAGCCATCAGCGGCGAACGCGACTTTGAAGGCATTGAAAAGATGCAAGGTGCACACTGCAACTTCCACGAAGGAGATATCGGAAAGGCTGTCATTTGGGAGAAAGAGCAGAACAATAGCACTCCACAAGTCAGATATCGTCAAGGAGGTGACGACCATATCCTGATCGAATACGGGAATGAGAATTTCGATCTCAATCACCGCTGCCGCGTCACTGCTTTGGAGAACGCATTGCACTCAGACTCCACTCCCGAGCTCATCAAGTCCAACCTGTATAACACCGTGGGGTGCTGCACATCGCTTCTCCTCCACTACAACGGTGCCAAGCTCCCTCGATCAGAGCTCATTGCGCACCTTCAGTCCATCGAATCAAATCTCGGCGACTTGAGAAGCACCAAAGTCCCTACCCGCGTTTTCAGGCTTCCAATCTCATTCGAATCGAAACTCCAAGACGAAGCAACTCAACGCTACATGACTAACCAGCGGCCTCACGCACCGTACCTACCCGATAATCTCGCATTCGTCGCAAAGAACAACGCTTTCACGCCACAGCAGCTGAAGGACATATACCTCACGGGCCAATTCATGGCCGTAGTTGTCGGCTTCTTCTGCGGTAACACTGTATCGCTGCCCGTAGATCCGCGCCAACGCCTCTCCGCTCCAAAGATGAACCCAAGTCGCGTTTTCACACCCGAAGGCACAGTTGGATGGGCCGGCTCCTGCATGTCGATATACCCCGTTGACTCACCTGGTGGGTATCAGATGACCGGCCGAACGGTACCCTGCTGGGATTACTATTCCTACAAACCCGGGTTCGGCACAAAGCCCTGGATTTTCCGCGACTTCGACATCTTGACCTTCTACCAGGTCAGTGAGAAGGAGCTCGATGATCTACTAGGCAAATTCCGAGCAGGAAAGTACCAATGGGAGTACGACGACGTGGAGTTCGATATGGCGCAGCACAACGAGCTTCTAGAGAAGACGAGCGATGAAGTCAGGAAGATCAGGGAGAAGCAAGCGGTTGCCCAGGAAGAGATGACGAAAGCCGAGAACGAGAGTCTGGAACGCTGGAGGAAGGAAAAGGCTGAGAGTCAGGTCGACGAAGGGACCGTGGAGAAGCTGCTGGATGATCCGGATATCGTTGGGGTTGAGGCGCCCGTCGACGCGAACGTGTGGAAGGTAGAAGTTAGCGAGGGTGATGAGATTGGAGATGAGAGTGTGGTAAGTGACTTCGCGTGGCTGTTCATCTGGCATTGCTAATATGATATAGATCGTCATTCTTGAAGCGATGAAGCTGGAGATTGCGGTCAAGACGCCAGACACGCTGGCAAAAGCGGGCAAGTTAAAGGTTGAGAAGGTTTTGGTGAAACCAGGAGATACTGTGACAGCTGGAGGACATTTGGCACTGTTACGCAAGAGCTAGCTGGGGAATGTAGTTCATTCATTGTAATCCATGGGTGTGTAAGCTATTTCATGCATCAGAATGACATCCGTGTGAACAATACGTAGCCACCTTTTCACATCGCCCAGTATCAAGCTCATGTCGTCTCCGACGAACTAGAACTCCAGTTCTTTCAAGTTGAGACCAGTGCCGCAGCTTGTGTCTTTAGTCGGTCTCATATCTGCCCGACCCCAGTCGTAAATTCCGCCACGCTCGACGAACGACTTCTTGTCCCAGACGATTTGCTGCATAGCCTTCTCAACTCCAACATCCAAGATAGACGCGCTCGTCGTCATCATTCCCTCGCCCTTGTCCATGAAGCGCATGTACTCATCGAGCAACAAGTAGCTGCTGGCCATTGAGTTGTTGTCTTCGGGTACGTAGCATGATAGGTGCTTGTGGCGATCGCAGAACGTGCGCCATTGTTCGTCAGTGACCAGAAACGTCCTTGCATCGCGCTTCCGTGTCTCGTCGTCGTTCTCACCTGCAACGATGAGGCATTGAAAGACCTTCCATCGGAATGGCGCCAGCTTCTCGATATTGGCAACCATGTCTTCGTTCCAGTTGTGTATATTAACGACGGTGTTGAGCTTGAACTTCACGTTGAAGGCCCGGCACCACTCGGCAATTTGGAACAGTCGAGCGACGTTCTTCCCGTCGTCACCACGGCCAATCTTGACGTTCGTCTGCGCGTCGAATGAGTCGCAGGAGATGGCCAGAATGTCCAGCCACTGAGAGTTCTCTCGCATCCATTTCTCCGTAATCTTGCTACCGTTGCTGACGATGCTGATGCTTTCGACGCTCAAGTCTTCCTTGCAGTAGCGAATCAGGCTTGAGAGAAGCTTGGGGTGTAGGAATGGTTCACCGCCCGCGATATTGAGTTTGCGCATGCCCGCATCTCTGAGCAGTCTTAGACCTTCTCGCGCTTTTTCATCGCTTAGTATGTAGGAGCTGGTTTCGGTGTGGAAGCAGAATTTGCATTTGTAGTTGCACTCCCGAGAAGGGAAGTAGTTGACTGATACCGGCGCATCTGGTGGCTTCGATGGATCCAAAGGCTCGTGAACAACCGACGTTTCAACGGCTGGCTCTTCGGTAGAGGGGTCTTCAGTAAGTAATACGGGTGTGAGAGTTTTGGCGGGCTTGATAGCGGTGGACTTGTAGACAGCGTACGCGCAAGTCGCGAGGACAATCCCGACAAAGTACCGAAGAGCGGGTACTTCAGCGACAAGTGAGAGGAGCACCATCGTAAACGGTATTTCCGGAGACGACGTGGATGATGAGTGATAGTTGCTGCAAGAGAACCAAAGTCTTCAGAAATAAGAGGAAGTTGGTGCGGGATGCGTTAACTTCTATACAGGCAGTGATGGTTCGGCCTAATAGAGGAAGTTCCGAGCCTGGGTAATGTGGGTCTTCAACAGCAAGAAATCGCTTTCGATCCCAACTTCCTTGATATACTGAGTGGGGGCGCTTGCTACAAACGGCAATCAAGGCTAACAATCAGTGGAACGCCCCGGAAGCACATACCAAGCACCTTCCACAATCTTACTGTGCCCCACCGCGACACTCCCTACCTCGCATGAGAAGTACAGTTCCTCTAGTCGCATTACCAGCAGCTATCGGTACCATGGCAGCCTCAGATCAGACCAAGGAATCCCCTCGCGGCTTTGCTATCGCGTTCGTACTAGGTATACTGCTCAGCTTCGCTTTCAGACTTCAAAGTAACCCATGACTAGGCGCACCTGGTGCGGGGAAGGGAACACTATGTACGCGTCTAGCTCGAGACCACAACCTGGTACACTACTCCGTCGGCGACAGTCTGCGGAGCTGGATGCGTGAAAACGTCAACGCACCACTCGCAGTGACTATCCAGGACAAACTCGACAATCAAGGGTTCCTAACTTCTGAAGAGTTGAACCCTTTCATTGCGCGCGCGATCGAAGGTGCCTTGTCTCAGCAGCTACCTAAGGCCGGCATCCTGGTGGATGGATTCCCACGAAGCACCGAGCAACTAGAATCATGGAACGTCTGGCCATTTCCCAAAGATCTGCCAATCGCAAGCGGAAGTAACACCAATGCAAAACCAGACATCGTATTGTCGTTACGCGTCAGCAAACAAAATGCCAAAGCCAGATACTCGGCTCGAGCCCGGGATAGCAACGATAGCAATGAGAAATTTGAGCGGCGCTTCTCTGAATACGAGGAAGAAACTTTGCCCGTAGAGGAAGTTTATCGTGAGCGCGGCATTTTGATCGATGTGAGTATGTAAAACGTTACGAAAGATCGAACACTAAATCACATCCAGATCGACGTGAATGGTTCGAAGGAAGAGAACATTATAGAGATGACCAATAGCCTTAATGGAAGTAGTCTCTGGCGGAGAGTTATGGTCGAGAGATGTATGGACACGCATTTTATCGTTACGTAGCCATGTACTTCGTAACTCGTTGGCAAAGTAATAGGTCGCATGTAGTTGGACGCCACTAACTTCTGCCAGTCCATGGCATGCCACGGCAACCGACCTTATCCCATGGATCTTGCTAATATTTCCCTTCTCTGTGCATTGTTTCATGATGAGTGTTACAGAGACGTGCCCGTTGTACTGGTGGACCAAAGCTTTCCATGTTCCCTTCATGGCCTAACATATTCTGCCCCAGCGACGTATGATACAAGCATCGCCGAAAGGTATAATGATTTCATAAGACGAGAGCATCCAGATATCTCTCACATCAGGACTGGGGAGTGAGAGGCAATTCTCGGGACCTGGAATGAACGATTTCGATGTCTCCTTGACCCCGGGCTTGAGTCTGTCGTATATTCTCCGCGGCGGAACTAGAGGACATCTGAGGGGTCTATTAGGATGATGGAAATGAAAGACGGGATTTGCTCGCAGTCGCAACTAGCCAGGAGGTCATATTCTTACGTCGCCTTGTTGAAGTTTGTCGGACCAGTCTGGTCTATACTTCGTTTTCATGTGTTGCATGAGATCGACTAGGGAGGCTGAGAGGGCAGCGGAGCTTGGCCACCTCCAGGAAGAGAGCTCGAGAACGAGGAGCGCGTTGGAGTACAACTGGATAAGGTTCCCGCCAAAGATTGCCGGCATGTTCTGTATGAGCACTGTGCCTGCTCGGTATACCCAATGTGGCGTGACGAAGACATGGATGCCGCCGAAACTCACTACAGCCTCTCTGTTTGTGATGGTTAGCATGACATCCTTCAAGGCATGCGGATATTACGTACAGCACATGCCATGCACTCCCCCAACAAGGATTCAGCAACAAGTGTGTTATGTGTAAGGTAATGCGTATGACAGGGAGCAGCTCGTCTCTCTCGTCAAATAGCGGTAACAGCTTCTTGACGTTCTCCTTGGCGATGTGGTCGCCTTTGCGGAAGCGATTTTGCATGCGATATAATGAGCAGAGGTATTCCGCGGGCTTCTCTTTGTCAAAACACATTTCTTCATCCTGCGATAGATGAGCCATGATCTTCAGAAGGCTGCGCAGCTGATAGACTCACCGGCTCCGGAAACAATGCAGGTCTATCCAGTGTAGATGCAATCTGGTTCTCAAGGCAGAATATGGTCATGTGCATGGCTCGCAGTAGTTGAACATCGTCGGGATCCAGCTCTTGTAACGCTCTTTTTGACTCAAGGTCGAATGCAAGACGGCCTGCGAGAGCTATTTGCTGGCCAATGTTGCCAGCTATTGGGTCAAATGAGCTATTGATAGCGAGTAGTAGAACCGACCGGATGGTGTCGATGTTTGGTTCCATTGTTGCTAACTCGAGGTGTTCCATAGCATCTGCAAAGTACTGAGTGGCAAGGGCCCGGTATCTAATGGAATTGGCCTGGTGGTATGTGAGCCTACCCCTAGGGTTCCAGCAAGTATCAGGAGGTTGCTTTTTACGAGTGTTGGGAAGGATGTAGCATGCTATGGAATATATCATATACAACGAGAACTTCTCGGTGTCCGTTAGGTCACCAGGGACGTCAGGTCCGAGATAACGGAGCGATGAATCCAGGATTGGATATATAGGTTGCACAGTTTCGAGATAGAGTTGCACCAGCTCATACTGCTTCTCGGGCGAATCTTTGTTGCTGTAGTGCCAGTCGTCAAGCTCTTCGTCAGTCTGCACGGCACGATTTTCGTGCGCAGTGTGTAGTCTGGGGGATTTGAGAAGGCAGGATTCAGCGCCAAGGTATCGATAGCTGTTTCCCGCTTCGGCGAAGTGATGTTCGTATCGAGGAACTTCAGAAGCGATGAATTCTGTTTTGACGTGTGTAGCAAAGGCGCCATTGTCCGTGAGCCCGCCGGATGTCGCTGGCGACCCATGGCCACTGGACAAATTGCGCACACGATCTACTAGCTCGCTGATGTAGCTGGGCATGTCTTAGTACGAGTTCGAGGACAAGCCTCGTCTGCTCACCTTCGCGGCAGCAGCTGATTGCGTCCGTGGTCGTAGAACATGCATTCGACGCCGGCTTTGGTGCATTGCCTGACAACGTTAGCAGGACGCGCAGGGTGGGACAGAGAAGCCATGTACCTGCACTTGGGCAATAAGGTATCGCATCCGCGGCGACACTCTCGGCATCGCTTGCATGCGGGGAGACTCTGGGGAAGTGTAAGTGCACGATGGCGAATTGCGGAGACGGCGGCGTTACCTGAATCAGAGCATCTAGATCGAGCGTGGGGGGCTTCGAGGTCGCGGCGGCCATCGGAGTGGGCAGTTTGCAAGGAGGCGACAGGTACGGGTCAAGGTCTAGCAGAGCTGTCGTCTGTACTACGATCCATCGCGCGCCGTCGTCATGTCAGCGACAATGGTCGGAGACGCGATGGGAGGCCTGGGCGGAGTGGATGGCGAGCAGGACGATCTTATCTGGCTAGGGCGTCCCAACACAGAAGCGATCACCCCGGCCGCCTGCATCCCGCGTGCCCACAGTCCGCCCACATGCCAGCATCCCGTCCTTCGTTCGAGAACACCAGCCATCGGGAATCATCACCGCCAGCAAGTCCTTCATCTCCGCCATGACAACGGCGCCATCGTGGTACAGACGCCAGACGCTCGAGGTTGGCCATGCAGAACCGCACCAAAGTCCGTCGTCGCGTGCTGGCCTGTGCTCGCTGTCGGAAGCGTAAACTCTCGGTAGACGCTTTCCTCTGCCCCCGTCATACATGTACTGACTCCATCAAGTGTGATGGCAAGGTTCCCGCCTGCACGCGTTGCGTAGATGCTAGCGTCCAGTGTGTGGGATTCGATTCTTCAACCCAGCAAGAAGCTCCGCGCTCTATTGCCGACTTTCTGGAAGCGCACATCGCTCGGCTTGAGGGCCAGAGCAGCACGCCCTCGACGCTGCCATCTCTGGGACAGTCAAGTGCTACTCTGTCATCTCCAGCAGATTCTCACGCATCTGACTCGAGGCCGGGGAATTGGCGTCCAGAGAAATGTGCCTTCGCCGACAGCCTCGTCAACCAGGTCATGCAAGACATCACGCCTTCTTTCCTTGGTGTGTGCAAAGCTCGGCCCTTCCTACAGTGCGTCATCAGAGGCACGAGGCTGCCTTCGAAAAAGGGACCTGTTCTTTCCAACGATCTGAACGAGAACCACCCCAGATCCATCTTGAACCCCCAGCAGACCAAAGGGCTATTCTATGACCTCATGCCTGACGAGGTTGGCGCCAACAAACTACTCCAAAACTACTTAGATCGCGTCATCACACAATACCCCATCTACCATCGAAACGACGTGACAACTGCTTTCAACTCCATCTATCACAAGAAAGCAGCAACGCCAAATGAAGACTCATTCCGAAATCGATACATAGTCTGCATCATCATGGCCATCTCGCTAACAACAAGCGCACGGAATAATGTGCAGAAGGCAAACGACCTTGCTTATCAGCTAGTTCGACACGCTATGCAATGGATTCCAGAGGTTGCAACCAACGATATCGCTGGACTACAAGCTATATTGCTATTAACCCAATACATCTTCCTGAATCCTAAGATGGCCGATCTATGGCTCATGACAGGTCTCATCAGCCAAGCAGTCATTGACCTCGGATTGCACCAGGAGCTGCCCAATGATGCTAAAGTCTCCGTTTACCAACGCGACATGCGACGACGTATATTCTGGTGTGCATGGGAGATGGAAGTTGGCGTCTGCTGCATATTTCTACGCCCTACAAGTCTTCCGGTTGGGCGCATAGATGTTCATTTCCCCATGGAGATTGACGACACCGCCATTACGCAGTCTAGCATATCACCGACTGGACGACTATCGAAATTCACGCAGCGTATTATTTGCCGCTTTCGCCTTATCGAAGCTGACGTCATATCCGTCTTGTGGCATGAAGACCCTATATCTCAAGAGTGCTCCTCGTTGGAGGAGTGGGTACAACACACTATCAATGCCATGTCAGATTGGCAACGCGAGATATATGCAGCTTCAGAGGCCAACAAAGATCGTAGCTTAAATGCACGATGGACTGAGATGCGCTTATACTCCGACATCGCAACCCCTTACGTCTTGTCCTTGTTACATCGCACCTCTCGACGACTGCCGAACCCAAGTAAAGAGCAAATGATGATCGCTCTACTCAATGCCGTCAAGGTTGCTGACGGCTACTTTCAGCAATCTGAGGCAGAAGCGGGAAAGATCAAATACGTCTTCCATCCATGCCATCATGTCTTCAATTGTGCGCTCATATTCTTGCAAGGTTTGCAGCGCTGTCCGAAAGAAGTTGCGGACCAGTACTCATGGCAACAAGTTGAAGAATGGATGCACGTTTTTTCGAAATGCTTCTTGTCCATCTCGGAGCGATGGGCAGCCGCGAAAAGGTGTTTCGAAGAGTACGAACGACTACTCCTTCCGGTCAAGAAGGAATACCTCGAATTCCTGAATCAGAGAGCGAGTTATTGTCCGCCAACACTGCACCAAACGGTCTCTGATGCGAGCAATCTCTACGACTACCAAGTGCCGCCCTCTATACTTACAGAAATTGATGAGGCTTACCAGTTCTGGACAGTTTTCAACCCTACCTCAGCGATCGATGCACCAGACCCACTGGGTGCGTACTCTTACAATCTCGCGCCTTCTGATTGGAATGCGGAGTTTTCCTTGAATGATAATATGGACATGACACCGGAGTTATAGTACTCCTTGGCGTTTCTCGATCAGGTTTCTTCTTTCACCGGCATTTACGTCTTTCAGCTTGATGACTTCACAGCACTGTACTGATTTACTTAGCTAGCATGTGGAATCGTTGCGCAT